CATACTAGTTTAGTTGTTTTTAATTTTCAAGATACTTTCATAGTAAGTGATCCCCACAACTACAAGGGAGAAATTATGTCCCCATCATTAAGAACTCCTTTCAGGTAAGTTCCCTTTCCTTAGCTCATCAATGTCTTTCATAAAGTAGTTCTTCAATTCTGATCATTACAATCACCTGCAAAGGTTAAAAAAAAAATACTAATCTTACTCCCAGAGATTATACTTGAACCTCCTTGTGAGGACAAGAGGTAGTGGTATTTTTATAGCCTCCTTAGATCATTCTAATATGCAGCAGCCAGAGTTGAGGACTGCTGCCTTAATCTTTTTCTCTCTCTCTCACCCCTTCCCACTTTTCCTCACCCTGTTAGTTTTATTTCCTGGGGTAATCTCACAGAACGGCTCAAATATTTCATCAAATTTAAGATACTGTCAACTGTAATAGTCACTATTACTTTATGTGTCACTAAGAAAGACAAAATACTGCCATGAAACTTTTACAAGCCAATAATTTTAACACATATCCTGAATGTCTTAACATTTCAGAAATGTTAAATGTCAAAAAAATGTGCAGTATAACAGAGTTCTCCATTCCTAATTTATAATCACTCTACTCTCTATGAGTAAGAAACTGCATTTGCTCCTATGAACCATCATATCCTGTTCTGCTATCCAGGCACCCTTCTCTCTCCCACACCATCTCACCACTAAAATCACACTCTTATCTTTTAAAGATAAGAGGATAATAGAAGGAATAGTGGTAGGGGACAATTTGGGAGCTGAGACCCTTTTGGTCAGTGATTTCAAAGTAATATTAGCTTCATAAGTTTAAGTCACATCCTTCACTTGGAGAATAACCATATAATGGTTATTAATTTATAACACCTCCTTCTCAAAGAGAAGGTAAATGCTGTTTTGCCAAACAGCACTATAAAAATGAGTTTAATACAATAATACAATTTCAATGTTCACTTGATGGCTTATAGAAGTACTTTCCTCATTTGGTTACAATAAAATTTTCCAGTGAACAATGTATAGGCTACATTTCAAAAGACAGAAATAATTTTTAAAAACTTACATGATTCCTGCTTACAGAATTATAAAACAGGTTTCTTTAAAATACTCATCTTCTAATGTACATTTAAAGTATTAATTAATGTAATTTGTAGATTGTTTTCAAGATTACCTCTGTAATGAAAAGCAAAAAAATACAGATGGAATTTTGCTTGAACTTCTCATTTAGTCTGTCATTTTTATTTGTGCTCCTTTTGATACATAGTGCTTTATTTATTTTCCATACTTCTCAAATGAGGCTAAAAATTTGCTGATGTAGCAAAGTTTCCTGGACTTTTTGAAGACCCAGTCCAACACTATAAAACTTTTAAAACTCTACTCATCTGACTGGAATTACCCATCCACATCACCTTCCTGCCAATGGCTACATCTGGTGAGTCCTAGGAGCATACAAGCACTCTGCATAGTTGGGTAGACACTGTGGTCAATTAGCAACATAAGGTAGGTAAGTATTGTAGTATGCACTTTTGTTAGTACAACCTCAGTACCAGGTAACATCTAATGTAGACAAACTATTATTTCCAAACAAAATAAAACTTGAATATTCAAACAGATTCAGATTAAAATGGATAAATTTTAAAAATTGGGACAAATGTAATAGCATAAACAATAATATAAATTTAAAAAGTAATAGAGAATGGATAAATTCTTGATTCTTAAAATGTTAATACACTACACTATTCAATTTATCCTTATTTTTTTAACATACAGAATGGCGCTGAAGTAAAATAGTCATAGCTGAATGTCAAAATGAATGTTTCACACGTTCAATCATAATGATGTCAATGACATCATTTCCCATCAGCTGATAGATAAAATGGGAATGCCTCCCACTGGCCTGGAATCAGGTCTGCCAAATGTAGGCAGTAGAAGATTAGCATCACTATATACTGAAAGGTTTAGCTAGAATTTGGTTAGGAACTGGGCCTAACTAATGGATATGCTCATACCAAGAACCTGACAATGGCACTGTTTGAATCTTCAAAGTTGGCTAAAGGGATCTGTTTATGCATAGTTTACAGATGTCTAAGATAGAGGTGATCTAACTCTAATAAAGGGCTTTGGTACTGAGTATAAAACAGAGTCCTTACCTTTCTTAAAAAAATCCTTCTACCTACAAAGCAGATGAAATTCTTAAGTCTAGTGGATCTAAGTGAACTGATTATTGATGTGCAGGTTAAGCCTTTCTACTGAAACTACTTAACTGATTAATTCCAGTTTGTATCTACAGTAAGGCAGAGAAATGTAGTCATATAAACCAGGGATGTTTCCCTTGGCTTTGGTACTGAAGCACCATTTTAATAGTTAGAGCTATGTGGACCTGATTAACACTACGTAGGACAAACTTTCCCTACCCCATAATCCCCCAAGCAGGTAAATATAAATTTAGAATTGACTGACAAAAAGACAAGCTGGCTTTCTCCGAGGGGCATGTAGACCACAACAGTCAGCAACGATCAACAACCCCCTGCAATTTCTGTAAACTGCAATCACTTTATTTTAATGGGGGTAATAGGGAGTGTTGAGGGTAAGATGGATCATATTGGGTGCCATTTTCTGCAAGTTGTAGGCAACAGAACACAAAAGAAAAGTCCTATGGTTTGATATGAGATTCTAGTCACACACTCAGACTAGGCTTCCATTAACACTACTGTGGCCAGCCACAGATGGCAAACAAATCACACATGTCAGGATTGCGGAAGCCAAGAACAGCCGAGTGAAGTGTAGAGTGAGAAACAGTGATCACGGGTTATAGGCATATGATGTGGTGGTTTAGTTTGTCAAAGCAAGCAGAAGAAACGAAGAACAAGTATCAGTAGTTTAAAAAAAAGAGACAGCAGAAACCACAAGCAAGCGAGTTAGCAAATATAAGGCAGGCTTGGGGTGAGTGATGGATGAAGAGGTCAGCAGTTCAACTTCTGCAGCCTCCTCTCCCCAACCCATGGAAGCCCATCCTGTAGCAGCACTAGCTTCACTTCTTCATGAAGGGTACCTACAAGTGGGCAAACAGGCTGTAAGGAAGCAGACCTGGTATCACATATTATTCAGCTACATCACTTTAAACATACAAAGAAAATGCTAGCACAGTTTCTACCACTAAACCACAGTTATGTTCTATTGATTCTGATGTCCTGTCAACTTCATTAAAAGAGGACTCTACCTGTAAATAAAATTGTTATGCTTTTGTTATTATATGGTACTACTCATGTGCAGTGATGATTAACATAAAAATTCCATGAATATATTTCCAAAGTTGTACTAAAAACCCCCAATCTATTCACCAGTTCTTAAAAAGTCATATACATAGGAAAGTCAACACATACATGAAATTGTTAGACTTTTACAGTAAACTCTTAAATGATGCAGGACTGAGAGGAAGCTCTAGTCCAAGTGATAGCTATTAACAAGCTTTATAATTATAGATAAAACACTAAAAATTCTCTGAAATGTAATTTTATTTTCAGTATAGTAAAGAGGATGAATTTCATGGCCTTTAAACAACTTAGCCCTAAAACATGTTATGCCTTAGATTTGCATTTTATTTCAATGAACTTCTGATCATCTCAACAACACATAAATGTTGAATTCAAAATCTGTTATAATTAAGAATATAATTTTTTATCTGAAAAAGTCTAACCTTGTTTAAAGAAAATGTAAGCTAAGCATTTTTAGAGGAATCTGCTCCAATATTTCTATCACCATACCACTGAAGAATTTAAAAACATCTTTAATATAAAAGAAATATAAATTAATTTAATCTAAAATCTAGTCTAATTCTGAAAACAATGTAGTTCTCCAGAATAATTTAGCAGTCAGACCAGTCAAATAACAGTGTATTGGGGACAGTGTCCATATTTTTTACCATGGGACTTTAAATTCTAAAACTGAAAGCTCAGACCACTAAAATGCTTTGGAAGGTAAGCATGTCACAAGGGAAGAAGGAGAAAAAAATGAGGGGAGGGGGACACTACAGTCACATGTCATTCCAGCTGCCAAGTTTTTTTTTTTAAGCTTAGGTTTTGGCCCTTTCATCCTTTGTGAACACTGAAAACAACAACAACAACAAACCAACTAACTTTCTCATGACACTATTTTAGTGCAGGTGTTTTAAACCTGTCTTATCTTCCCAAACACATGCATGCATGTGAGTTATATTTTCTACATCAGTCCAAGTCTTTTGTTCAGTACTGAAGCAGGTTTAGGGTGAAACAAGCTTTACATTTTCCATAGGAAATCTTAACCAAAAAAATGTAAATGATTACTGCGAAGGCTGTATTTAGGGTTAAAAAAAAAAGCAGAACCTTTTATTAAAGGATATTAAGAAAATTTCTTCTCTCTTGCTAAAGGACCCCAAATCAGAATCATACAAATATCCAATTAAATTCAAATACAATGTCACAAATGACAGGTTTACATATTCTCATTTGGGTTTCTAAAATGACTATACCACTCTGCAAAATGTGACATTTTATAGGAGAGAAAATCCTATACACCTAATTCCTTTCTCTTTAGGTTTCCTTTTTATAATTTACTTTAAAAAAGGATACTAATTCTATATATAGTACTCTCCAAAAGATGACAGTATTATTCAATATTAAGCCTAGCTTATTAAGCAATACCTTAGTATATGTTTAGAAATGGATGAAAACTCACACTTAGCTGGAGAATTATACAGTTGTAATCACTTAACTGCCAGAGGCAATTCAATTTATTCTGAGTGACTGTTATTATTTCAAAAAATATACATGAAAATCTTTGCACAACAAATTCCTTCCCTGATACAGTTAAATGCAAATTATCTTCCCCCTCCTCATCTTACTCCAGAGAGCTCCTGCATATACAGCTGATACGCCACCTACTGCAAAATTGAGCTGACAGAGCCAAGCGACACTGCCAGCATTTCCATTCTATCACCAGGCTGTAGCTGAATAAAGGCGTGTTTGTGTGGCAGTTTCTTTTATAAAAATCTCAAAGCCAAAAGAACAAGCTCAAATAGCATTTTCAAAAATGGAGTGTAAACTACATAGAAGAGAAAAAGAAAAGGAATATGAAGAGAAAGACAACAACCTGGAAGATGCTGACCAAGGAAAGAACTGCAAATCTTCACTGATGACGCTAAACGTTGGTGGATATTTATATATTACTCAAAAACAAACACTGACCAAGTACCCAGACACTTTCCTTGAAGGTATAGTAAATGGAAAAATCCTCTGCCCATTTGATGCTGATGGTCATTATTTCATAGACAGGGATGGGCTCCTCTTCAGGCATGTCCTAAACTTCCTACGAAATGGAGAACTACTACTGCCCGAAGGGTTTCGAGAAAATCAACTTCTCGCACAAGAAGCAGAATTCTTTCAGCTCAAGGGACTGGCAGAGGAAGTGAAATCCAGGTGGGAGAAAGAACAGCTAACACCCAGAGAGACTACTTTCTTGGAGATAACAGATAACCATGATCGCTCACAAGGACTGAGAATCTTCTGTAATGCTCCTGATTTCATATCAAAGATAAAATCTCGTATTGTTCTCGTGTCCAAAAGCAGGCTGGATGGATTTCCAGAGGAGTTTTCAATATCGTCAAATATCATTCAATTTAAATACTTCATAAAGTCTGAAAATGGCACTCGACTTGTACTAAAGGAAGATAACACCTTTGTCTGTACGCTGGAGACTCTTAAGTTTGAGGCTATTATGATGGCTTTAAAGTGTGGCTTTAGACTGCTGACCAGCCTGGACTGTTCCAAAGGGTCAATTGTTCACAGCGATGCACTTCATTTTATCAAGTAATTACTTGTGTCACAAACAAAGGCAACAAGCATGCAGCCAGCAAGCTTCGGAAAAGCACAGCATCAAAAGCATCCCAAATACTGTGCCCAGCCAGCTCTGTACTCAAAGCCCTGCTGCTAATCAATTACTGTGAGCTAACGGTATGTAAATTCTATTGCTAAAGATGTCCTTCTTTAGGGTTTCCTGCAGTCTCTTACACTTAAAATGACAACAGTGATCTTCGATATATTGTAAATAAAGACTGAATGCTTTTGTTCTTTGTTTATTTTTCCTTAGGCTGTCTTTCAATCCAAGAATGTCATGGATACTTTCACAATAAACAAGCATGTACGTTATTGTTTATTTAAATAAATGGTAATAAAATATTTGAAGGGGCTACAAGATTTAAAATCCTTTTTACTCATGGCAAAAGTCTACAAAGAAACTGAACTGGTAAAATTAACCATTGAGAGCAAAATAGATATGCAAATCTACTAAAACAGAGCATAGTGAAACAAAATAGAACGTAAAAAGGTATTAAAGCTTTGATATAATTTTTAACGGTAGGAGCCAAAAGCTTATTTATAATTTCTGTATTGCACACTAGAATTATAGCTGAATTGATGATATATTGCTGAAAATTCCCAGAAAACTGCTTGATAAAAATAAAAGCACTACTAGGTTCTTTGCTTGTATTAATAATTTTAATAAAAAGTTACGCACATCACTTTTAAAACAAATACTGCCACTTGATGATTTCACATAGTATTATTCATTGATGTAGGCAACTGGCAGGCTGCAGTTACCCTGGCAGGTCTTGTAAGTGACAAAAATCAGCAGATTCATTTCTTTGCAGGCTGAGCTCCAACACAGCGTGGATAACTTAGTCTCAACACAGTATGGTATAATAATAATATAGGAGTTCATTTTCAGTATCACCCTAAATATCTATTCATTTTTCAAGCTCAAAAATAGTAAATGAGCATCACTGAACATTATTCTTATTCACTGAGTTGTGTTTAATTTCTTCATGCTAAACAAGAAGTTATTTTTTATAATTAAGTTTTATATATAGCTGTCTCAATAAAATAATCTGGACACTTAGCTCTAAATGTGAGTGCATTTTTTTCCTCCCAAATAACAGCTAATTATTTCTATACCACTTATTTTGGATTCTAAAAACAAATTATATCTTAAATTTGCTCCTTTAAAATTTAACCATTAAAACTTGTAACTAAATCTTAACTTTAATAAATTTCAACAAATGATTTTTGAAAATCTTTACTGAGGTTAATAAATTAGCAAATATGATAAAAGTTGGCTTATGCATATAAATTTAGATTAAATTAGCAAAGCTAATATTCTCAGATCTATAACTGACTTCCAGTTACAACATCTAAAGTAACAGAAAAGCTGGCTGTACATACTAAAAGAAATATTTAAATATTATACAAAGAAGTCCTTTAAAAATTCACATTAAAAAATAAAACACTCCACATCAACCACACTATTTTTTTTTCAATACAGGAAAAAAAAGCTGCTACTAAAACATCAAATTTTCTCTTATGTACTTGAAAATGGCTTAATTAAAAACAACAAATAGTGAAATCTATTTTAGCAGTTTAGTAATTGAACTGTTGTTTATATACCTACTCTGCATATGAATTGACTTTTCCTTGGCATTTGGACTTTGGTAATAAAAAACACTGTAGCAATTTTAATGTTAAAGCAAGACTTTTTTTTTTCATTATGGATAATACAAATAGCCCTGACATCTTTTTACCGGAGATAGTTGAACAAATCTCCTTACAAGTACTATAAATAAGGTTTTACATCAACTCACACAAAAGAGAATTTAACTCTTATAACAAATTATTATTGATGGAAACCACTACTTAAAGAAATTTGTCATTCATTTTTATATCTTTCTCTAAAAATTTTATCTGGATGCATTTAAGTCCTCCTCAAGCTTTTGATAAACCATGATATCCTAAAACAATTAAATAACCTAGAAGTAAATTTGACTAGATTGATTACTCTTGTGTAACTTTTCATAAATGTGTATTTAAAACTCAAAATTACTTGCACTTGGATTTACATAATCATATTGTGTCTTAAGTGTATAGAAAATATCTATTTTTAAATTTTGCTGTTTTCCAAAAAATATTTGGAAATATTTTCCATTTAAAAAAATCAAGAATCATACAAAATGCTGACTGTAAGTCAGACTGAAGCTGCCATAATATTTTTGTTTGCAGTCACTGAAGATTTTCTTTCTCCAATCTTTCCACAAAGAATAAATCACAAAGTAACTCTTTATCTTCTATTTCAGAAGAAGGGTAATAAAAGGTAGGTTACTATACCTGCCATGAGCAAAATATATATACCCTTATATTTGAAAATATCCCGCAGTGACTGTAGCACTGCCCTTAAAATATGAAAAACAACACACAGCTATGTGTACTATATTTCTAAAATGTATATGGCAGCACTCAGAACAAATAAAACACTTAAGAGGCTTTTCAAATAATATAAGAAACTATTATCCGGGACCGAAGATGATGATACTGGTTAAGCTTGTTCAGTTAATTTTTTTAAAAAGAAAATTACTTATACTTTAAGTGCTATCTTTAAGATGATAATAAAAGGTAACATTTAGCATTTTATCACATGCCAAATGACATCCTATGAACATATATTATTTCAATTAATTCTCAATTAACCCTAAGAAGGTATTATTATTCTTTCCTTCTTATAGATGACACAGGGACTCAGAGAGCTAAGAATCCTGCTAAGATCATACAGTCATTAAGATATAAAGATGTAACCAAGATTTGAAACCCAGGTACACTAGTTCCAGAGCCAACAGGAACTATGTCTGCTCTTGCAGACCACTTTCACCTCTAACGCCTAGAAACTGGCTTAAAACAGGCATTCATGAAGAATGAGTTGAACACAGGATACCAACACACAGGTTTGCCTCACTTGTTAAAAATCTCATAATGTAGGTACTCTTAAAATTTGAGAGAAAAACTGATTTTTGGAAAAACAAATAATATTTTTATTTTTTTTAAAAGATTTTGTTCATTTATTTTTAGAGAGAGGGGGAGGGAAAAAGAGAGTGAGACATCAATGTGAGAGAGAAACATCCACTGGATGTCTCTCAAAGTTGTCCTGTTCAGGAACTGAACCCGCAACTCAGGCATGTGCCCGGACCAGGAATCGATCTACTGACCTCTTGGTTTGTGGGACAATGCCCACCCCACTGAGCCACATCAGTCAGGGCACAAATAATATTTTTAATATTATGTCATTTAAAGAACATGACATGAATCATCTCACAAGAGTAAAGAATATCCTAAACCAGTCTATTGGTTCATCTAGATTTTCACATATCAGGTTAAATAAAAAGGAGGTTAACTTTTTATGACTTGTACAGTCCACAGAACTGATGTGTTATGAAGAAAAAAATGTCACAATCAAACACACAAGGGCTCTGGAGTCAGACTTCAGTTCAAACACAATTAACTCCCACTAACTTGTTTACACCTTTGTAATCAAGATTCTTAACTTCTTTGAACTTCAACATCCTCATAGTGAAGTGGAGATAATAATGATTAGTTGCTAGTTTTTATAAGGCTTAAATTAAATTCTAAATTACATGTAAAGTACCTCATCCATCACAGACCTTCAATAAGAAGTGGTTATTATCCTGTGTAAAGGTATCTTCATGATATAACCATGAATAACAGGCACAAATATGCACATTTACATTCATAAGACTTTCCACTTAGACATGAACAGCAGGGAGAACTTTAACAAACACATACTTAATACTGTGATGAATACTGTAAGACACAGAATATACTTTAAACTGCTCCAGGCAAATACAGTTTTCATTTATATTAGTATAAATTTATATAGGAAGTTTTTGGGGACCTCTTGCACAAAATAAGCAGTGTTTGCTGCCATCATGGCTAACACCAGTGCCACCTCTAGAGCTCATGGAGCTCCAGCCAAAGAAGAGGGACGGTAAGTAAAAAGGTCACTATATCATGGCTCCTACAAAGCAGACTGTCCACAAATTGACTGGTGGCAAAATACCAAGGAAGCAACTGGCTACCAAAGCCGCTTGCGGGAGAGCACTGTCTACTGCAGGGTTAAGAAACCTTATTGTTCCAGGCCTGGTAACATGGCACTTGGTGAAATTATGTTATAAGAAGTACACTGAAATTCTGATTCACAAACTTCCCTACCAGCATCTGGTGTGAGAAATTTATTAGGACTTCAAACAAATCTGAGCTTCGAGAGAGTGCTTTATAGGAGGCAAGAGAGGCCTGTCAGGTTGGCATTTTTGAGGACACCAACTCGTGTGCTATCCATGACAAACATGTAACAATTATGCCAAAAGACATCCAGCTAACATACCACATACATGGAGAATGAGCTTAAGAATCCACTATGATGGGGAACATTTCATTCTTTTAAAAAAATTCTCTTCTTCTTGTTATTGGTAGTTCTGAAAGTTAGATATTTTTTCCTCATGGGGTCAAAGGGAACCTAAGTATAGGACTGCAAGTGGAAAATAGCAGAAATAAGGTATTGACAGTTTTTCCATTTTCATTTGTGTATGAATTTTTAAAATATAAATGTGAGGACATAAAACATTAATGTACAATGAAAGGTTTCAGTGAACTAGTTTCAACAGCTGAACTTTATAACAATATAAATAAACCTGTTAAATTTTCTGGACCATTCCAGCATTTGGATTTTAAAAAAAAAAATAAGTAAATTTCTTGATGGCAACTAAATGGTGTTTGTGAGTTGTCCTACATGCAAGTACATGTTTTTAATGTTGTCTTCTGTGCTGTTCCTGTAAGTTTGCTATTAAAATACATTAAGCTATTAAAAAAGAACAAATGAATCATTACATCGGCTTCATCAGCAATTTGAAATCAGTGAAGAGTAATATATGTGATAACACAATCTTAAAGTACCCCTATCTAATAAATTTCAGTGATTGTCTTAAATTGCAGTGATGTCATTCAAGATTAAAATTAGAGTATCTGAATCATAATTATCTTTGATAAGAAGAGATGTAAATATGGCCTATCCAAAATCACATACAACCTAGAAATTACTACCATTTATCTTTGAAATATAGAATGGTTACTTCTGTAGCAGATTTATCTTCCTAATCACATTTGGCTTAAGCTAACATTAAAGTTAATTGGTGATAAAGAAAAGTATTGCTGGGCAGAGAGAAATATTTAAGATGAAATTTAAAATCTGCCT